TGGTGAAGCCTCTCACCGCCCCTGAACCTCTGGCCTGTACCCCAGTTCTGTGTGCACAAATAAATAAATCTTAAAAAAAAATTATTCCAGCTCTGGAGTCAGGCTCCATGTTAACCACTTTACAGTCATTATCTCATTTTATCTTCACTACGATACAGAGCAATAGACTGTTCCTGTCCCCATTTAGCAGATGAGGAGGGTATCCCTGTCTGGGAGATATTTATTTGATCATAGCCAGCTCCAAACTTGAGCCTGGAAAATCCATATCTACTACTTCTCGTGGCATAAAAAGTAGAGGAAAAGAGATGGAGAGACTGGCTACCTCTGAATAGCAACAAAGCCCTGCCTAAAGGGAGGGAGAGGACTAAGCCCCTGAAAGCTTTCCCAACACTCCTAGCCTGGTCTATACAGCACACCCAAGAGCAGATTCCAGATACAAATCAGGTATTGAGTGACCACAGCCTCCGAACCTGAGCACAAACACACAGCACAGACAGGCTTATTTCTACTGAGGAATACCGAACACGGAGACAAAGACACAGACTGAAAAACACCCAGATTCAGGGACACGGAACCAGAGACAAAGGGCCAGAGGTAGAGTCACAGGTAGAGGCCCAGAATCAGACAGAGGCAGATATGGGGGGGACCCTGAAGCACAGAAATGGAGAAGAAACCAAGAGCAGCAGAGGCAGCGCATAGAAGCTGGAAGCTGGAAGAGGGCTGGAGGCCTGGGCCAGGAGGCCCAGCTCAGAAGGGCCACAGCACCTGGCACAGGTGGGGAAGGCTCTTACCAAAGAGCAAGAAAAGCTCTTCTGGGGTGCTGCCCATGCAGCCTGCAAGAGAATCTGCTAGACACGACCTCACTCCTGGGGAAGAATGTGCCCAAGCCCCGGATTTAACCTCCTCTCTGGCCCCTTTACCCACCTTGGGGCTGACTGAAAAAGATTGCCACCTTCAGCTTGAGTGGATTCTGGATCTGCGACTTGGTACATAAATGCTCTCCCTGGGCTTGAACCCAGTGGTGGTGGCACAGGGTGATTTGTGGGGCTTGAGGTCCTCAATCTACAGCAACCCTAAACCACCCTAATAGGCAGGGAGTCTTCATAAAACAGCACACTTCTGTACAAACAGTGGGGGGGGGGTACCACCCCCTCACACCCCCATCCCTACCCTGTTTCCAGTTCCATTCCTTCCAGCCCTCCAGTCACTCAGACAATCCCCAATGTGGAAATCCTCTGTTCTCTGATTCCACCACCAAGCCAGGCCCCCCAGGCTAGATAACTGGATGACTTTCTTGAAAAGCTCCCTGCTGGTTTCCAGCTGTGTCGAGGATACAAAGTAAACAGGAGATGCTTAGGGCCTAGCACACAGTAGGAGCGATCAATTGATCAATTATGGAGGCCGCTGTGGGCAGGACCCCAGTCTCTTTGCTGTCCCCCCCCCACACCCCTATGCCCTTCGCACTCTCCCCCTCCCCCAGCCCAGGGCCAGTATGGAACAAGACTAAACTGGAGAGGAGTGGTTGAATTTGTTTCCTCACTGGCTCAGAGTAGGGAAGGGGGGGAGGCTTGGAGGCCCAGGCGACCGAGTCCCCATTCTCCCGCCCTCAGCCTCAGATGGGTCGTCGGCTGCTCTCTCCGGGAAGATAATGGCTTTTGGCCTGAAACAACTGAGCCACTGCACCACTTCGAAGTCAGCCTGTCCCCTCCCCCACCTCCCTCATACACAAGTACTTGGGGGCTGGAGGGTACCGGGGTGCAGACGCCTCTCTCCTCAGGGCAGAGGACACAGACTGAATCTAAGGCTCTCTGCTGCCTAGGTAAGAAGCATGATCAGGGAGAGGGGTTTCACTGGATCTAGGGGTCTCCCTTCTCTCCAGCTTCTCTCCTTTGGAGGGAAGGTATGAAGATAACATTTACTATTGGAGTCATTCTGCAGTCTGCCTCTTCTGAAATAATAACAATAACAATAATAATAGCAATAATAGAAGTTTGAGTGACTACCTACCAGTTGTATGGAGAAAATAAATTGTATAAATCCTGTAAGGAGGGATAATTTTGATCCTCATTTT